CCGCCAACCCGCCAACCCGCCAACCCGCCAACCCACCGTTATTCGCTTTAGATACCCATTTACGCTTATTTATGCTTGACTTTTCAACTAGCCCGATCAATTCCTTTTTAACGAAGCCAGTTAATTTTGTTATCGCTTTCGTAGGCAACTATGATGGCACATATTTAAATACGTCTAAAAACAAACAAGTCTACTCACCTCGGACAAAGCATATAAAGTATCGAATCCGGTTGTCAAACGGGATACAACGTTCAAGTAGGCAAGTGTGGGGTTGTTGTCAAATCTTGAGGAAAATKTTTAAAATTAAATACATACTTTATTACTTCAATTCATAATTTGGAAGGAATCTGTATTTCGATAGTATTAACATGCAGTGAGCTGCAGAGCACGAGAGAAGAGGGCTTAGGAACACGAAAAGTAGCCTACTATTTCTCTTGCTTTACAGTACAGGGACATAAGCAGTCGTTCTATATAACTTTTGCATGATTTTGCGCGAGCGTGTGTTTGATAAGATCGATAAATATATATTTGAAGTAGTTCTTGATTTCATCACTTCAATTCTAAGCTATCCAATCCTTGGATAGTTGTGATTGGTTGATAGGCTTAAAAAACTATTTTTATATCAGAGGACAGAAAACACAATCAGCTCATACGTTGTGTTTGTTTATAAAAGGAATAAAAATCACGCGCGGCTTTACATTCCTAATAATAATAATAATGATAATAATAATAATAATAATAATAATATATATATATATATATACACTTGATTGCAAAAAGGTTGTAGCATACATTTATACATATATCTAATGAGATGCAAAATATCAAATGAGATGCAGAACGTAAAAAAGTAACTTATTTGGTAGTATTCATCTTCTTTCATATATCAGAGACATAAGTATTGCACAAAGTCAAGTTAAAAATGTATTTTCTACAAAATTTCTTGGTTAAGCATTCGTATTTAACTTGCATCTCATTAGGTATCTGTATAAATGTATACTACAACCATATACGTATATATGTAGTGTTTAAAAAATGAGTAGGAGTGCTTTTATACCTGTTAAAACACGATCTACGAGTTTTTTGAACTGCTTAAAACACTCATGAACAATTTATAAGATTTTGGTTCAACTGGAGCCACCATACACGTCACGAACATGGATTTTTATACTTCGATAGAGATTTGACGTCACGGGCATGCGCAACCAGATTCAATAGAAGCTCCCACACGTTGGATATTGCGTGCTAAGGCAAAGACAGGCACGTTAGTCAAAAATCTTTAGGGTTGACTATGGCCTTGATGAAGCTCTATATCTTCATCTAAACTTGGATGCATACTTCATCCCTGATGAAGTCATCCTCATAGTATTCGAGTGGTCTTTATATAAAATCACTTGAATACTAATGAAGAGGACTTTATCGGGTATAAAGGTTCATGCACGTGACGTGTATGGTGGCTCCAATTGGACCATAAACTTATGAATTATTAATGAGTGTTTTAAGCAGTTTAAAAAACTCGTAGATCGTGTTTTATCAGGTATAAAAGCACTCGGCTACGCCTCGTGCTTTTATACCTGATAAAACACTCCTACTTGTTTTTTAAACACTACATGTCAAACTCATTATCAATTCATGAGGAAAACACAACAGAAATCACGACCGTGAAGAGTGTTGTAAATCTGATACAAAATTGTGTTCATTTGCATAAACTATAAGTTGGAATTCTTGGCCAGATTCATTTTAATTTTGAAAGTTTTAGTGAAACACAAAGGAACTAACCTAGATTAATCCCATATAGGTAACTATCCAATTATTTTCTTAATTGGACAGGTCTTGT